CTGAAATATAGAACAAAATAACAACACAGTTTTTTGTAAATATAAAGTTTGCAGTGCGATTAACCAACCACTGCGGACGACAAAAATTTTGATCTTTTTTTCCCGTGCATCGCACGGATAATATACTAGTTGAACTAAAAAGTAAAGAAATGATTATCAATATTAAAAGGCTTCTGGATATATCTCAAAATCATGGATGACAAAAATATTTGCAAACTGCAAATTCGTACAGTGCTACAACGAGTTTATCTCAGTTTCTGAGTGGCTACAGCAAGTTTAGTTGAAACTTTCCAGAATCAACATTAAGGTTCAAGAAGAACTTTTCCAAAGCTTCTTGAATCTTTACAAAAATTTATCAGAAATGACCTTTGATTGTCCCTAATCCAAAAGGGTTCATTTAACACTTAACAAAAATCCATTTCCCAATTTCTTTTTGTTGAAAAACTCAAGTTCCATTTCCACGGATTTCTTGAGTTGAAAAGTAAAAGAATCAAACGAATAAAATAAACGAAACAGTAACAAAGAACATCAAAAATTCATCCAATCATTTTTAACAGAGATAACGAAAATCCATATTCAGATAACGAAAATCACAGATTAAAGAAAACAGAAACATTCATTAAAAGAGAAAATCAAGTAAATGTTCAACAGTGTACCGATCCTAAACTAGAGCAGGATCTTGAATCTCCTCTTGCATGCACCTCCTTCTTCGATCTTGATTCTTCAGCTTGTCAATGCTTAAAGTTTCTGGATCTTGAATAGTGAAGCAAGAAAGTTTCTTACAAAATGGATCTGTATCAGAGAAAGTACAAAGGAAATTGAAAAACGTAAAAACCTAATACTAAAAATCTGATCTATATCCATTTTAACCCACACAAAAGTTAACTAAAAACTAAATCTAAAAACTTCTCATCACTAGCCGTCCATTCTTCTTTTATCCAACGGTTCTGAATATGTTCCTTCCCTTTTCAAGCTGATCCATATCCACGTGCACTTTGCATTCTTTTCTTCTCAGCTGAAATTAAAAATGAAAGTAAAACATGTAAGGAAACAAGCCAAATTCTACTCTTTTTACTTTTTACCTTCACTTTTTACTTGGGCCTTTACTTAACTCATTTGGGCCTAATTTACCTGCAACAACATTAATTAAACAGCCCAAAGGTATTTAAATAACATAAAATAATATAATATTAATATATATAATTTGGTGCTAACAGTTACTCAAACGTGATGAGTCTCACATTGGTTGGAAATAAACTAAGTCAAGTGTTATAAGTGAATGGCTCATGAACCCAATGCCTTAAAATTTTGGGTGGAGACATTGTGTCGGACCTGCTTGCTATGGTTGGTGCTAGCTTAACTCATTGGTGGTGTCCCCCGTCAGGCCGCCACGGACTTCTTCTTCGACCCGCCTAACACTTATTATATTAATGATTTTAGTTTTTGCTCACAATTGATGTATTATCAATTCAATCATGTGTTAATAGTATATACAATTTGATTATGATAAAAATTTAAAACGACCTTCACATTGAAGATAGAACTCAAAGTCAATAGCTATCAAACAACTCATCAACAGATGTAGGAGATTCTCGTGTTAACCATTGAAGCAGTGAATTAGAAAGTAAAGCATAAACCATATTAAGAGAGTGGATGGTATGATCTAGGTCGTTTAAAGGGTGGCCAATAAAAACAAGCTCATCAATTATGCCCTTAATTTTTTTTGTTGATTTTATAATTTTTATTGATTTGTTGAAGTACGTACAGTTCGTGGATATGCACTATAGTATATACACGATTTATATTACTTGCTTAGTTATTCTATACTTCAGTCGGCCTCTCATATAACATTGACATGGTTTTAATTGGAGTGCCTTGTATTTAAATGATGTAAAACCCTTGTACCAGTTAGATACTTCTTGCACAGCTATCTTTCACATTTTATAATTTTTTATTGTTAGGCCAACCTCTTGAATTATGTTATATTGTTTGTGAATCTACCTAAAAAGTATTAATGTGATGTTACAAGGGTCTGAACGTAAAGTTGGGGACACAGGATTGTAATTAGTGATGGATCCAAAAATTGTGTAGAGGGGTAAAAATAATGCACAAATACAAGAAAATAGATTTAAGATATTTATGTTTTGGATGGAAGAGAAAGTTTGGCATTTGGAGAAAATGGTCAGATGAATGCTCCGACCAAGTACATAGATCAAAAGTGGTGGGAATTTTTTCCAACTTGATTAGTAATTTCGATTTTGAGTTGATATTCGTTGTCAATCACAATTTGGTTTTAAGAGTACTATTATAAAAGTGTTTATTTGGCATCAAATTGTTTTGTTTTTTAATGGCGTTATCAAACATTTGTATATCCTTTATCTTTGGAGATTGTTTTAGCTTTTAAAATTTGCATTACTCATTTGCATCATAGGTATATCTTGTACTGGTTCAACGTAAAATAAAGTGTTTCCAAAAAAAAAACGTGAAATAAAGTGTGAATAATTTTCTCTCAATTCTATTTTTCTATAAAACCTTCGTTTTTAGAATTTCAATTACCACTTTGGTCTTCTCTAGATATAACACTTTTTCTTTTTTTTTCTTTTTTTTCTTTTTCTTAAATCTGAATTGGGCGTGTCTTCTATCACATGGCAGCATATAGCTTAAACTTGTTGACTTTGAGAAATTATGCTTGAAAAGTCCTATTGGGTAAAGATAAAATTCCCAACAATCTTTCAAAAAATTCAATGTTTTGGCAAAATTACATATGTCCAAAATATGCAACATCTAGAAGTGTTAAGTATATTTTGGTAACACTTTTTTAGAATATAGCTCGTTTATCATCATACTCCACGAAAAAAAAAATACATAGTAGCCAAATAAACAGCACATTTCCTTATTCTGTGCTATGGGCTGGGCTAACTAGTTAAGTTATACAATATAAAATAGATTGAGAAAGAATGCACAAACTCTTGGTCAACAAATTTTAAGTGCATTTATAACATTGTCTCATATGATAACCAGTGTGAAAGCTTCTTTCAAGATCTTGACTGAGTTAGTTATGACTCTTGATAAAATGAAAAGGCTTAGGAAGAACTATATCTATATCTAGCAGATTGTGATTTAGATCTGTGACATGCAATCCACTTTATCAAAAGCAGAGGTTATTTTTCATTACTATTATGCTGTCATCACTGTAGATATCTGACAAATGATAACTATTTCTAATAGTTTGGTAGTTAGTCATTGTGCAGAGTTAATAGCAAACCTCAGAGAAGGACTCATAAAATTGTTAGAATAATATCCAGATTAATGTTTGTGACAAGTGCTTAATTGGTGCCCCAAATTTGATTACTACTTGTCCAAATTCTAAACAAAATACCATGCTCTTAAATATTCTAGAGACAACAGCAGTTAGTAAATGGTAATATGTAACTTTAAGGATTAGGATTTGTTTAGTATAATTTTCAAGTCACTGAGGCGTCACCACAAATGAGTTTTGTTCTAAAAAGTACTTTTACCTTGTCAAAGTTTATAATGCTAGGCGCGAACCCAGTTTTGGGGATGGTTTTTGTCTGCCGTCACAAAGATCAGAATGGATAATGACCAACAAGATAGAATCCAATTACACCTTGAACTACGAAATCTGTTGGGTTATTCAAATGTGATGAGTCTCACATTGGTTGATAATGGATTACGTGAAGTTTATATAAATGTGAGGACCCATGAATCTAATGCTTGCTCCCCTTGGCCCACCTAATAATTTCATATTCGAGCAAAATTGGATATTGCTCCGGACCATTCATGGAAAAATGATAAAGACGATTAATGTCCAATAAATGTTGATTTGTTTTTTGTTTTCTTTTTTGTAAAATATAATAAACAATAAAGACAATTTGCTTTTATCAGCCCAATAATACGTACGCGCTGATTAAAAAATGCTGGATTGTTCAACGTGTTTACATTGCCTCAAACTCGTTGTCACATGTCCAAACGTCAAACGCCAAGTGTTGAAGCGTTTTTTATGACGTGACATTTTGACAAATTTTTTAGGAAGCGTGACATTCCGATAAATTTTTGCCAATAACGTGACAAAATGGTCGTTGTTCCCCACATTCCCTGTCTTGTCATTCCTGAGAATCCACTTGCGATGTCTCCTTCAAAAACCTTAATCTATATCATTGCCTTTTAAGAACACCTTGATAGCAATATAACAAGGGGTACAAACCTAGTTCTATAACACAGCCACTCAGATACCATGGAAATTGTCTTACCTAATTATTTCAAAAATTTATGTCACGGACAACATTGTTTTCACGGACTTGCTGACTTCAATTATCCCTATTTAATTCTTTTTTAAAGTTGACAAAGATCTTTAGTTAAACCTCCCCCAAAGAGAGAGAGAGAGAGAGAGAGTTGACAAACATATTCTGCTACATGGTAGCCAATTTTCTAAAACGCGTTGTCCTTGAAATTTCATCCAAATTTTAGATGGCAAGTTGTCCAAATTAAATAACATTCTTTCTTCTCTCTCTTTTGGTTCTTTTAAGTTCAATGTTACCATTGATCATTTTCTAATAGTTATTATGGTTGTGTTCAGCATTGTTAGCTAGTTTGGGTAATAACTAGAGCTCTTCAAGTGAAAAGGGAAATTAACAAATGCATAGCAAATAATATATCTATCTGTTTTATAACTTTATTGTGGCCTGATCTACTTTTATATGAACAGAAATGGCATGCATAAGACAGCTCTACAATTTCCATTAGTCATATTCAATTAGCAAGAGGTAGCATTAAGGGTTTACTTTGCAAGATTGAAGCACTTTAAAAACTTTTGAGAACTATTCAAGCAAAATAAAGATGCTCTCCCAATTGAGAATCAAGAACAAAGTACTAAATAGAAAAGAATATTCAAAGCAACATGCAATATTTTATCACAAACTCTTTAGTTTATAAATCACCAATGCAAGCTCACATTCATTCTTGTCCTTGCCTTCAAAACAATGGCCAAAATGCTTTTCAAGCTAACAACTGTTCTTTCTCTGCTCATCACTTTATCCCTTCACTGCCAAATGGCCTTCTCAACAACTAACATACATGGTGATGATGATGATAGTGATGAAGAGTACTATGAATTGGATACCCCTTTGTCTCATTTCACATCAAGAAGCAGGTTCTTGGCAACTACAATAAAGAAAGGGGCACATTGCAACCCCACAGATTACAAAATCTGTAATGGGGTTTCAGCAAAAAAGGGGACTCAGTTGCTTCAGTGTTGCAAGAAGAAATGTGTCAATGTTCTTGGAGACATGAACCATTGTGGTTGGTGTGGGAAAAAGTGCAAGCAAGGAGAGCGTTGTTGCAATGGAGTTTGTACAAACATTTTGTACAATGTCCATAACTGTGGCAAGTGTGACAAGAAGTGCAAACATGGGACTCCATGCTGGATTGGGTTTTGTGGGTATGCTTGAAAGTTATTATAATGTTAGCATTTGCTCAAGCAGTTTGAATTATATATCAAATGATTCTTTTGAATAAGTTAATATTTGATTTTCAAAGTAGTTAACTTTGTTGGTTTTTTTGTTTTTACAATGTACTCTTTTTTTGGGTTGCTTTATGACTTTGGTGCATTTGATTTGCTGAGAATAAAGACAACACAGAAAAAAATTGTTTTATTTGATTGCTCAAATAGTATATAAAGGAAGAACACAAATATGTAAATAATCGTTACCTACTGAATCAGTTTATAAAATCTTATCCACGGTACAAGAAGAGAAATAGACCGGTATAGTAATTTTATTGCATGTGAAATAATGCACAATACGAATAATATTATAATAAATTTTATATTATTTCATTCATGTATATCACAAAACTTATAATCTTGTGAATTGATCATCAAGCAACTAGTAACACGTTCTTGTGCTCTAGTTTCCCTACACAACTTTATTACTTGTAATTCTAGGTTTTATAATATCGTGATCAGAACAATTAGCCACTAAACGATTATTCCAATTTTGGTAGACTTGCATCCACGATACAAGTTGATGCGTTATGTCAACTCGTTAATTAATGCTCAATATTCATGCTTGGTTTTAAAATTTCAACTATACCTCTTTGGTCATTGTTAAATTGTGATTGGGTATGTCGACTCTTCTGTTCTCTCACATACATGATGGCACTTTGCCTTAAAATCCATCATTTAGAATTACAACATTAATTCACATGTAATAATATAAAATCCATCACTTTGGACCTGTCAAAATCAGTTAAAACTCTTATGAAATTATTACTTAATATTTCAAAAAATAATAATAACAATAATACCCTTTATATGATTACATGTGAATTAATGTTGTAATATCATCCGGTTCAATTATTTAATTTAAACGTTTGAACCAGTTAAACCTAAACCGAAAATCTCATCAGTTCACTCTCTAGTCCAGTTTTAACAACATTGATCACAGGTAACCATATATTTTTACGCACCACTTGCTATAGGTGCAGTAGCTATAATATATTTTAAAGAAAATTATAATATAAGAAGACAATTATCAATCATTATGTTTTATCAAATTATTCGGTGTAAAAAACCTTGGAATACACCACCCCAAAAGCTAGCTCAAAGGGTGGAAGTGTCCAATGCCTTATAAAGGCCACATTAGTTGTCCACACAATCAATGTGGGACTATATATCTCAACACGCCCCCTCACGCAAGAGCCCTTTGGGCTAGAAGCGTGGAATTGCACAGGCCCAATTTTTGGTTTACCTTTTTGTGCTTTTTTATTTTAATTCCACTTGAAAGTGGGAGGCCGTAAGGATTGAACTTGTGACCTTGTAGTCACTCAAGCTCTGATACCATGTAAAGAACTTTGGGATACACCACCCCAAAAGCTAGCTCAAAGGATGGGAGTGTCCAAGGCCTTATAAAGGCCACATTAGTTGTCCACACAATCAATGTGTGGGACTATATATCTCAAGATTCGGAAAAAAAAAATGAATAGAAACAGTCGAGAAATTAAATAAAAAAAATTAACATCATTATCTATCAGCCAATCCACTTTTAAAATCTAAATGGAATAACTTGAAAAATATATAATTCAGCACCATCTCTATCCATTAATGAACAACATGATTGTAATGATATGAAATAAAATTTTCCTTCATCCGATTATTTTTACCTGTGGTTTGTAAATAACATTAATAGACATCACTTCAGTAACAATATAACATAATCAAATAGGAAGATATGAACATTTATAAAAACAAAAGAAGATGAAAGTTCTGTCTACACTTTTTCTTTGTTGCTTTTTTGCACAAAACAACTACAAATACCGAATGAGCTCCACCGCAAACTTTCCTTTCTTTGTGGAGTTTATTTCTCCAATCTGGACCAACCAAAATGATATAAAAACATAACTGAAAATGCTAAATAGTATATTCAAAGTTTCAGATGATCCTTACCTTTAATCTTCCCATGCCACTAACTGATACAATATCTCCACTCTTGAGCGTGGTTCCTTTGGTAGTAACTGGTGTCCAGTTGATACGCACATCACCATTGCTACATGCATGATATGCATAAACACAGTTATCGTATAAATAATTAAAATATATCAGTTGGTGTTTTAAGCAGTAACACTTCTATATCAAGTGACATAATTATGAAGCAAGCTCAAACCAGTATAACATATTCCAAAAAGCTAGAGAAGTCTGTGCAGTTTTATGCACAAGCATACATTTTTAGATATTGCCCAAGATGCTAATTATGGGTGTACATGGTTCGGTTTGACGGTTTTCTAAACCTAACCAAACCGAACCTGAAAAGTGATTCAGTTCTTGAACCGGACCGGAAAAACTGTTCCTTCTTAAACAGGTTCGGGAAAATATGATGCAGTTTGATTCATTTGATTTTTTTACACTCCTAAAAATGGTTATGATTCAGTTCGGTTTTTAGCCCAAATTGAACTGAATTGATAAAATGATTTGGTTCTTAAACCGTTTTTTAAACCGTTTTGAAAAAACGGTTTGGTTCTTGAACCGGTTCAAAGAAATAGTTCAGTTCTTGAACCAGTTCAAAAAAATGTAGTTCTTTTGATTCGGTTTGGATCAATTTACAATTCAATTCAGTTCATTTAGTTATTTTGACACACCCCATTGCTGATGTGATTAAAGCTAATCAAATTCAGAGACATTTAATTTATTTATGCATACATTTTCTTATATTTCTATAATCTGTACAATGCTCACAACTGACGATTGTTTTTGTCTCACGAAGCATAAACAGAATTCAAATAGGATTCAGAAAACAAGATCTCATGGACCAGTGCACAAAAACTATAGGCAATCAACAATTTACAAATAAGTTGGGACTTATCAACCTGATCATGTCAACTAGCTTTGAACGCGAAATCTTAAACCCAGCACTAGCCAGTGCATCAACTCTTAGTGATGCTTCTATAGCTTTGAATGATTTTGTTCTGCACAACAAACCAACAATATTGGTAAAGTCTGACTGACACACTTAAATATTATGAGAACTTGAGACCAGGATCAATACTGCACCTTGGTGGTTCATAATCAATAGAAATTAATGGTATCTTGCTGCAAGATACCGGAACATTACGAACCTGAAAAAGAAGAATGCAATTAGAACATGAATAGTATCCAATAATACAATACAGAAACTGCTTAAAAGCGGTGTAATATTATGAAGCACTTTGCTTCAAACAGACCTTTATATGATGAAGAATTCTTCTGAGTTCTGACACAAGGGAAGACATTATTCTATTATTAGACTATCCACACCACCTTAACATAAGTAACTAATTGCATTATTTGTTAATAAAAAGATTATCTGCAGAGTTCACTTCAAGAGCCAGTTCTAGGATTTATTTTTATTCTAATTTTCAGAACCAAAGGGCAAGATGTAACTGGTCTGTTCACAAAAGAAGCAAAGATACTTGCATATTGTGTCACACCTGCATCTGATAAATTTCAGCTGTATTTGTGCCAAATACTCCTAGGCCTAGCTACTAATTAAGACCAATCTAATATCTTTCCCATTTTTTTGTTCCTGAAATGTATCAGATTAGATGCTAAAGCATGATAAAATGGCTCTGAAGCACCCCGAAATGTTTGAATTTTTTAGTTTAGTAGTTTTTGGAATCGATATATACATATATTGTTATAAATAAGCTTTAGGAATATTTATTTATGTGAATATAAATATGTCGTTTATATTTTATTTTGAATAGTACCCCATACTGGTATCCTAGATTTTTAAAAATACTTGTACCCCAGGATTTTGGAAACAACACTCATGTCCACATCAATGATATAAATATCAAATATTTATTACTACAATTACACAACTATTTCCTTTTGTGCTAATAATTAGATGTTTATTATGAAGGGGATTACTTCTCTAGAGAAGTTCTCTCATGTTAAGAGACAAATAAAGTGGGCCCCACCAATTTTTAGAAAAAAGAAAAAAGAGAGACGCATTTTTCGAAGTGAGAGTAACATGAGAGATCAATCTCATACAACAAAAGAGTATGATTTCCCTATTATGAAAGGTAAACTTCAAAAAGCAGGAAAAGAAATAACGCTACCTTATCCAATGATGACATAAGAAATTCAACAAGTTCTGGTACAAGAAGTATCTGAGCACCCCGTTCTCCCTGGTTAGCAAAGGCAACAAAATAAACAGAACAAAAACTATTTATTTGGATAAATACAACTGAAATGGTCAAATAAATCTCACAAAAAATGCAAATAAGAAAATGTAATCCCGGTCATGTCCATAAACTTAAATTGCAGCTAACCAACGGATCATCAACATAGTTGCCACCTGAGGTCAGCTTTCTTCCTAATGTTGCTTTCTAGACAGAAATGAACTTTTTCTCTCTATGCCACAATGATTTGACTTTGTTCAGATCCATTGTATGAATATTTTTCATTATATACACTGTATTGATCTAAGTAGAAGATAATAGAAATATTGACTCATCAAACAACAAACTGAAGTCATTAATTAATATTGAAATTAGAATAGGATCAACAAATAGAGAGCTCATTAGATGGCAAATTCTTGTGTAATATGTAACGAGTTGTAGGTTTGATGTACTAGTATTATCACTGAGGTATATTATATTTCCATTTAACTTCAAATCATATTTTCTTCAACAGAGCTTCATTATTGATGGATTAGATAATAAAAGTCTTTTCAAATGCAAACAAATTGTAAAATCGTGTAATATGAATTATGTGTCAGAAATAAAGGAAAACTATGCATACCAGAAAGGCATGTTAGAAGCTACTAATGTTCATACAACCGCCTTAGCTGTTTCTTGTAAAAATACTACTTTTCCTCAGTCGGATATAAAACCTCATATGAATATGGTTAAGTAATGATACTCTTAAAAATTCTGCCATTATCCACACACACAAAAAAAAAAAAAAAAATTCTGCCATTAGTACCCTTCGGTGCACAGAACACAATTTTAAACAGAAATTTCTTGCAATTAAAAAAAAGGAATACCTGCAATATAATATCTCCAAGTTTCTCCCTGGCAATTCCTGTACCAAGAATTGAGCCAAGGAAGTCACCATGAGAACAAGGTTCAAACTGAAAATTACCTGTAATGCTGAAAAGAGTAATTTAATGTAAATATTAGGAAGGACATCTAGGAACATTAATAATGGAAGTGGTGAGCTTGACAATTTTGGTAACAAAAATTATAAGATTTACCTCAATGCTGAGATAACATCTGGATCACTTGTCAATTCTTCTGGATGTCCAACAGAAATCCGACAACGTTCAGCCTAGAGAATATATAATGTTAACATACAAACACGGATAACTTGTATCAAGGGAATAGAAAGCGCTTATCCAGACATTTACCTGTGGGTAACCTCCTTGAGCAATTGCTTTCACTTCTGCTACTTTTTCCAATACTTGCATAGATTCCTTCAGCAATGGAGGGGTTAGAAAATCTGTATGGAGAACCTCTCGTCTTAATGATGCTCGTCTAGCCTACAACAACCAAGCTAGGGATTGAATAATGTTTTATAGCGTAAGATTTTAAGACATACAATGGTCCAAAGGCCCCGCAGACCTCAACATTTCTGCTACAGGAAATGAACATTTGAAACTTTCATGAGGAGAAAAAAAAGGAGTTCCAAGGTTGATCATCATCACATGCTTAAGGTAAACCTAGAATGACATGTAAATGGACCAGGTAAAAAAAAAAAAAAAGTACCATCTCAAGAATATGCTTCACTTCTTTAGTGAGACTTCTTTCACCTACTCCCTTGAGTAACACATCAACTTCTCCCTTTAAAGCTTGTACTGTCTGGTTTACACCTGAAGCTTCATAAAGCATTAAAAATGTGAAAACTGGATCATGATTGAGATGCGCAAACAATATATTTAGCTTACAAGAATACATACTTTAATAGACAAGCAGTTAAAAAGTGAAAGAAGTCACGAATATTGCTTCTCCATCACCCAGAAAGCAACTTTCCATCAGATGACCAAAGGATAATACCTAATTGCTTGGTAGTCTAGGAAGGGGAACATACAAGATTTAAAATGAAAATTACCTGATCAGAACCATTACTGAAGTATCCCTGACATCGGCATTATCACCGGCACTAATAAGGACTCTAGATGAAACTAGAACAGTCTTTTACAAGTTTTCCCAGTGCTCAGAAAACTACTTGGGCAAAACATGAAGTCCTCAATTTGTTGGTTTATAGCTATGTATGGATATAGCCAGACAAATGGGCCAACAGGGGTAGTCCAAAACACCATGGAGATATGCTTCAATGAACTTACAAAGGAAACCACACCAGTGGCCTAACAATAAGTTTCAACCCAGAACCTTAAAGCATTAGGTTCGTGGATCCTTTCACTTTAAGGTCCTCATCTTGTTCATTCATATCTAATGTGAGACTCCTTCACTCACAATTGAATTCCCAACAATCTCTTCCTTAAGGGTGAGTCCTCAATACTCCTTGTGCAAAAGCCTTTTTCTTGAGTATTCAATGATAAAAGGTCTTTCCATGAGCACACCAAGCCTACTTTTCCATGAGTCACGTAGCTTACCAACATGTTGCAACTATTCATTTGACCCAGCCACTTCTTAACCACCATGTTCCTGCTCGTCACCTAGAGCTAGCCAGCTACAAACCATACTTTCAAAAGCCACATCATACATGTTACCATTCATTATCACTCACCCAGTCACATCTCCACACATGTTCCAGCATGTCACTGGGTAGGGGCCCTTGCTCATACCACCATTCATCAACCATTTTTTCTCCAATAATAGTCTAGTCAGATCCGAACCATAAGCTCTCATCCCAGGTAAGACCATTAAAATTATTATCTCCAGAGTTATGTACTCCCCCAGATGGCCCAACACAGACATCACTGCTCAAGCTGTATTACATTCCAGGCAGTGAGATGGGGGACACTGATCATGGCTTTAGTTCATTTGGTTAATTGACCAGTCAAGCACTCCATTGAGATTCTATTCTAAGACTGAAGTTTCCCTTATAACACACAAAACCTCAGCATTAAAGCTGATAATATGTCTTTCAGAGTCAAAGTCCCTTCACCGCTATTACAGGTGTAGTAAAAATTATGACTTTGAGCAGTAAAAAGTTTTACACAATCAGTAACACAGAAAGAACACTGCTTGCCAAATTACAAACAGCAAGTTTTCAACTTGATCGTAATTTATGAAACCCTTTTGTCCATTAAGCTGTATTTATTACCATGTTCAGTTGAAGACATACTCTAAATTCAAGCACCTTGAAATTAAAATAACGGGCAATTATTTGCATTCTCGACACAGGTCAAAGAACAATTTCTTTAGTCAAAAAGATTACATTTTTAAATGATTGAACATAACGGGTATGCCAAACAACATCGACAAACATTAGCACCAGAAGAAGGGGGAAAAAGAAAAAGGAGAAATCAAATGGATAAAGTAAGTAGAGACCTGAAGAAGAAACGGAGAGAGGAAGAGAGCAAAGGGTCCTTTGGAGAGAGAGGTTGGAATTGGTGGGGAGAATATAAGAATGAGAGAGTGCAAAAGCGTGAGCTACTCTTCTTAGACACCTTGCAGTTCCAAAACTAGTGGCACCAGCCATGAATTAGCTCTGTTTCTCTCTCCCTCTCTCTCCCTCTCTCCCTCTCTAAGATTAGATTAGCTCTGTGTCTATACAATTTCTATTTTTATTTTTTTGGTAAGCTTGTGTCTATACTCTACAATTTTATATAAGGTACCTCTTGCAGGAGGATATCCTTTAAAAAAAAATTCTAATATTATGGATATTTCATAATTTTATTATTTTTATATTCCTTATAATTATGTCCTATATGTAGTGTATAATTATAATATTAAAAAAAAATTATATCCTTTATAACTATATTCTATCCGTAATACATAATTTATTTATTTTTAAGAATTTCTTCAAGATGATTCTTATATTTTGTTTTTATATATATGCCCTTCATTGGAAAAAAATAGTATATAGCCAAAATTTAATATATACTGTACATAGAATTTAATATGTAGCCGTTCTTTGAAATATATTTAATCTTTTTCTTTATCAAATTTTATTTATTTTGTGAGTTATTATGAATAGAATTTATATAAACAAGGTTAATAAAATTAAACAAGAGACAAGAATATTAATGCTCAAAAAAAGATCGAAACTTGTATTTATAAAAAGGGGGGAGATATGTGACATATTCTAACCAATTAAATCATGGGTTCGTTTTTTCTGCACTAAGTCTAATACAACGTCGTTTTGAGGCAGAAATCATGATATTTTTGTAATTTTAATCTATTTCAGAGTTATTATAGTTTTTATAATTTTTTAATCTTTCAATTCCAAAACGACGTCGTTTTGAAAGTAAATACAGATAACTTATCGGTATTAATTGTACAAATATTTTTCTGTTAAATCATTTATATGAAACACAAATTTCTAAAGAAGAGATGTGCAGCATTCAAATAAAGAAAATAATATAATGAACTACGCCACTTTCATGAAAAAAATACTCAAAATTATCATATAATAATGTCATAATTCATCTATAGAGATCAAAAGGAAAAGGAGAAAATGGTAAGCGAGGTTAAGCTCCACCCTAAAAGTCAAGGTTCCGTGTGACAGAAAAGCTCACCGCTTCAATATGTAGATTTCTACATACTATTTCTATGGTTGTTCGCATAAATTTAAATTTTCTAAATAAAGGATTGTAAATATATATTTAGTTGCGTGCGTACATTTTCTTATTAGCAACGACATTTCAAAACTAGATGTGTTAAGGTTTACACGTCTCTGTCTAACATGTTATGGTTAAAAGAAGTAACTTTAATCCCATCATATGGTTGAAGGAATAACCTTTGCGGCCAACTTCAGGAAAGCAATGTAAAATTCACCATATCATAATAAAAGGCATCATAAATTGACCATGTTCTCCAATTTTAAAATTTTCATTTACAGAGGCATTATTTAGAGCTTGTTTGTTTGAATTTCTTAAAAAAGTAATTTTTATCTATTCATTATTTTAAAAGTGTTTTTTATAAAAGTTTTATTTATATTTTTATAAAAATATTTAATTTTAAAAAAAATATTTGACTTTTGCTTTTCTTAGAAGTTAAAATTTTTAACTTATGAAAAAAAGTATATTTTTGACTTTTTTTGCAACTTCTGTCTTTTTAAAAACAGACATCCAAACGAACAAAAAACGAGAAGTATTTTTTTTCTTGATAAAAAAGCAGCTTTTGAAGAAAAAAAAACTCATCCAAACGGACCCTTAAAATGTTCTTCAAAAAAAAAAAAAAAAAAAAAAAAAACTCATTCAAACAAAAAAGTCAACGTACTAAGTCACCATAATTTTCCCAAACACATATTAAAAAATTTATAATAACTAAAAAAATTCTTCTAAAAAAATAGTAATTCAAAAATACTCTAGAAAAATCATTATAAAAGCACTTTTTTTCTAAAAAAAGCTTATGCATCAAGGCATGTTCATCCTCTCAAAGAGATTTTGTTCTATAACATTAATACTATAAGCAACATGCAAAATCTCTGTCAAAAGTTTTCAGTATATCATGGTACCATTCCTCTAACAAATGAACCATAAAAGACAAATCCACCGATAAACATCACATGAAATCTGAACAAAATTTGAAAATACATAAAAGTCAAGCTAAATGTTTGCAGCTTCTCCACAAGTTCCCCAAAGAGGATGTATAGAACATAAATAACTTAGGTTATCCTCACAAACCTAGGCATTCCACTAAGAAAATTGGTCTTGTAGCTCCTTCCAGATTCTAAACTTTTTTCAGATAAGATAAGTGTATCCAAACACCAACAACAGCACAACTAACAAAGCAGCAGCAGATGCAAATGCAACCCATATCCAGTAATTGTTAGACCTTTTGCGCTTAAGAATGACTTTTGGAATTGATTCCTGGCCTTTTGCTCTACCCCTTGACCTAAAACCACTCTCCTTTGGAACCTTTTCTTTGGCTGAAGCTTCAACAACATTATCATTAACCTTTTCTTGTTCAGCCTCAACTTCTGCTTCTTCCTGTTCCTCCTCAGGATTGGAAACAGTTGCAGCTTTCTTCTTGGCTTTCTTCTCACGGTCCTAAAAACCATTTTCAGATTTTGTAAAATAAAATATATTTAATGTTTACAAAGAAAGAAAGAGACACACACACATACAAATATATATCAATGGAAGGAGAAAAAGAATTGCATCAATAATGAAATCACCTTAAGCTTCTTCTCAGCTTCCTTTTGTGCTCTCAGAGCTGCTTTGGCTGCAGCTTTCTCAGCTAACTTCTTCTTCCTTTCCAAGGCCTGCTTTGCTTTTGCAATCTCCTCTTCTCTTTTTTTCTCTTTCAACATTGCAGGATCAATTTCGGGCTCTTTGACAGAGGTCTCCTTCTGGGGCAATTCAAATTCATATTCATTGGTTTCAGCTACATCCTTATTCTCAGCCTCGGATTTCGAATCTCTCCCTTTGATTTTGGATTCTTTCTGAGTAGGCAAAGTTTCTTGTGGAGAAGGCTTAGGCTCCTCCTTTGGCTGTTTTGGGATGATTTTTGATAATGCATCAGTTTCAGCACGTTTTGGTTCTTCCAACAGTGGTTTTTCATCTTGGTTCCTCATCCGTCCATCCCTACTACACTCCCGCATATCCAGTGATGGCAAAATTCTTTTCTCATAATCATTCCTAAAAGTCTTGTCACTGTTCCAGAGTGACATAAATTTCCCATCCTAGAACCAGGGTCAAAAAATAAGATTCAATGACAACTCATCACAGTCAAGAAAAGCAGGAAAAAGATGATCAGATGATTAAAATGCAATGCCATCATTAAAATTGGATAGCTTCAAAGAATGAATATGATAGAAACCGAATATTGTATTTTAAGGGATAAACCCCAATTAAAATGGATCAAATCACTCAAAACTGGACAAACCTCTGTCTTTGAAAGTTCCCGAACAGCATTGACATCTTTCTTTGTAGCCAGCTCCCGTACTTTGTTCATAAGTGTACGACTTTGGTAAAAATAGGTGTTCTGTAACAAGATATTATTAATTGAAATTCAGAAATTATTCTGCAGGGATCACAGCACTGGAAAAAATAAATGAGTTTATAAATAATGGCAAAAATTACTAGACATTTACAACAGCAAGTTTCCCAAGGATGTTTAGATGAAATTTACATCAAGGACGAAATTATACTTTACTGGGTTCATAACAACAGATATGCTAAATAATTTTCAGTTTGGTAGAACTCAAGATTCTTGTTACAATGTCAACTAAATTTCTAAAACAGCAAATTTCAGGCACAAATTTCACAAATAGTAAGATTAAAAAACAGGAGGAAGTCATTGAATCCTACATATTGGAATAATTAAGAGGAAAATTGAGGATGGAAGTGACCATACCACCATATTTTGCATTCAATCTCTAAAAAATAAAAAAAATTCATACCAAATAAGATGAAAATGCAAAAATAAGGTTCAAGGAAAACAATTTTGAACCTCCCACTCCATTTTCTCGACCAAACACCAAGTTAAAATCAAAACCATTCCATCTCAATCCATTTTGTATTTGCTGTATTCCACATCCTCATTTCCACCTGTTCTACCAAGCACACCCTAAAACAATTGCACTGGAGTGAGACTTAGATAGTGCTCATATTTAAAGCAAAACATACCCCCTCATCGCGCTGTTTTCTCAGTTGCTGAATGCTCTCAAAAGCTTGTTCCCTCTTCTGAGTAACAGCTGTCAGTTCTTCCTGTATAGACTGGATATCCTTGTCTATGGTATTCAGTAAATCATCAATTTGCTTGATTTTGGACCGAATTGCTTGTCTCTCCTTCTTCACTTCATCCAAATCCCCACCTATATTCTGCGATGACAATTAATTTCTCAAGAACCTTTTGAATAATACACATTTAAAAAAATTCAGAACACTTTTAACCAAAAAGAAAAGACTCGATTGCTCAAATATAAATAGAACTATCTTACCTTAACCTTATCTTGAATGGCTTCTTTCTGCCCAATAGAATCCTGTAACTTGGCCCTCATTGCAGCATTAGCAATAACCTTCTCCCTTGTCCCCTCAAGCTGCCTGATTTCACGGAGGATTTGTTTTTCCTCAGTCAATGAAATGCTCTCGTGCTGGATGCGGTATTGCATGCTGTATATCTGCATCCATCAAAGCATATGGTAGTAGTGGGTGAATGGAGAATAGATGCAGGGATAAACTACAATACAGACAAAGTGAAGAAATCTGGATTAAAAAAAATATGGACTCATAACATACAATGTCATTAAGTTCCTCCTCAGATGAGCATAAACCACCCCGACCCACGTTATTTGCAGTGCGCAGCTTGCCCAGTGCCTGCTGCAGAGGTTCTATCTCTTTTATTTTCTCATCCACAATACTCTGATATTGCCTACTGTCACCTCTCAGAGACTTAATCTGAGAAATCAACTCTGCTCGTTCTGCCTGCAGTGAAGAGTAAAGACCAAATATGCAATTATATTAGATGTCTGTTGAGAAGGAGTCTGTCAGTTTATGTCACTCCACAAATATAAACATTCATGAAAAGGACAGCCATTGCTAAGTGATATGCAAGTGATGCTATTTTTTTTAATATATATTTCCAGACATAATTTCTCCAGAAAACTTCATTCAACAACTATTTTTACATGCTAGCCAGCTCTATGTTTGAAAAGATTCCAACATCAATCATTATAGACTCCAAAAATATGTCCTAATATTATATACATCTTCGTCCATATTTCCAACCATAGAGCTGTTAAGCTGATACATAAGAAAATACCCATCCTTACACAGAAAAAAGTATTTCAATTTTTCTTACAAACACGACACAGCTGCAAGTTCTTTCCCTAAAGACCATATTTCCCATTTCAAGAAATAGGGATTACTAGCAAAAATGGACTCCCATGAATACGCCCAAAAGGTGTTTAAGATAGACACGGTTATATTCAAACTAACCTAATGATGGCAAGGAGAGGTAATAATGAAGAGTTAACAATTACGTACTTTGTTTTTAACTGAGAATGTATAAGTGGACAAACACTGCAATAATAAATCCGAGAATTTGATAACGTTGTATACGAAGACATGACGTGGTATGCCTGTCAGTGTCCAACGTCATACGAAGACTTTGCTTGACACTTGACAGTTAGAGGAAGAATATGACAAGGAGAAGGACAAAAGGAGTGTGTTGATACACAGCCCAAGGTAGTCAAAAGGCAAAATGTGTCCTTAAGGTGCTAGGGGATTTCAAACCTTAAGTCGAGAGGGACCAAAATGCGTATGCCTTACTAGAGAATGGCATTAACATCGGAAAATAAATTATTTGACTCTTTTGCATTAATTTTCCAAATAAATTAGCATTTCAAGCGTAACCGTTGTAATAGAAACAAAATATTAAATGCTCAATTTAAAGAACTCTCAGCTGCTTGCTGCTTAGAGTCCAAACGGCCAACAACTAACAACAAACAACTAGTTTTTTTAAACAATATGAATATTTTATCTACGTTACTACATTATCATAATAGCATCACGGTAAGGAAGTTAGACAGCTTCACATTTACGGTTATTTATAGTTATGAATAAGACACGCATAACGCGCTAACCCCCCTTCCGGGGCCTTGCTTTGGCGCCTTGGACTAAACTGACACATCCTACTTTCCATTAAAAGTAACTAAAACTTTAACAAGCAACCATGACGTTTTATTCTCAACTCACCCGCTTTGCCTTAAGTGCTTCAGTGATCTCAAACCGGATTTGATTTTTCTTGCTAATTTCTTTATCAAGCTGATCAATTTTAGATTTGATGGTTGGATCATCATAAGGTCGGCACCTGGCAAAATAGAAAGCATGAATCTGCATAGGTGCAGGCCACTCTTCAACAGCATCTTTCCGGGCATTGGATTCTGAAACATCATTCTCTTCCTCTTTAGCAGCTTCATCTCCATGAGACCCAAATTTGATGGGCTCACCAGCTCCCAGATCTTGTTCCAGTTTGCCATTCTCCTTTTCATGCAAAACAGGTTTGCCTCCTTCAGCACCGTTCTCTAATGGTCCTTGAACCATCTCAAATCCCACCACCTCAACTGCCATGGCTCCAACTACAAGACAACCTCACAACCCAACAAACCTAATTCCAAACCAAAACACAATATATATGAAAAGATTCAGAAGCACGTAGAACTCAATAGTTTGATACACAAGCTCAATAAGCAGGTACACAAATGCTAAATCATGAACTAAAAGAAAAAAATTTAATTGTTATTATCAAATGAAAAAAACATACATACATATATAAACGCACATAGATATATACATATGAATAATATTTGAAAAAAGCCACAGAGCATTTGCAGAACAAAGCTATATGAAACCCCATTTGGTCAAATGAATACATGAACTCCATCAATTTGATCACAAACAACCAATCCCAGAAGGGCATGTAAAATGGGAAAAGGGATCTAAAGATTACAATCTTCATCTCAAACATGCAAAGGAAATGAATCACAGCTCGGATAGACGATCTTAAAAAAATCTGATTTTTTTTTTTGGGGGGGGACAAAAATCACAACTTATTCCATTACCAAACCCAGCATGCAAATCCAAATCACAGGAAATGGAAACAAAGACAACAAAATAAAATTCCAAAAGGGCATGATCTGAATACATTGAACGATCACCCCAGCAATGATGCACCCAAAAAGACAAAAACTTTGAAGCAAAAATAAAACAACAGAACAAACTAAAAATTGCACAAGCAATAACAAAAAAGTATACCAGTGTAGAGAATGAAGGAGATTGCAGAGAAGAAGACCCCTTTTGGAAAAGGGTCTCCAAATCCAATTCCAAATTATGGGAAAAAAAAACCTCAGATCTCGTTCTGTTTTTCTTGTCGGGCCCGTGTGTCCAGCCCCTCTCTGTGCACGCTTAATCAAACCAGTTCCAGAGAGAGAAACAGGGAGAGAGATGGAGAGAGAAACAAAGAGATGGAGAGAGAAAGTAGAAACTAGTACATATTACTGTACCCAATTTATATAAACACGAGATAAAGATTTTTTTCAGTTTCAGCCGTGGATTTCGCAACCTCAATTTCTTCAAACAGTAAAAATGTTGGACTTTTACAAAAAAAAAGAAAAAGTAAAAATGTTGGACTAGCTTTTTTTTTATTGACACTTTTATTTTATTTTAAGGATCTTTTTATGATTTTATTTTGTTCTTTTTTTAAAAAAAATAAAAATAAAAATAAAGTAATCAGTACCGTATAATACAATATACGATTCAGAAAGGGATAACGATACGTATTGTGGGATACTGAGATGTATCAGAAAGAGTTTTATATCGAACAATATGATACTATATCATAATATATGATAGTCAATATATATTATACTATACGAAAAATAAATCAAAATTTTTAATTTTTAATATAAAAAATAAAAATTTAATTTGTGATTTAAATGATTAAAAAAAGTAAAGATCCACCCATATTATTATTTTTAAATTATTTACTTAAAAAAATTCTAGCAATAGTTATCCATGTACTACTCCTGTGAATTATTTAATAATGTAAATAAAGAAATAAGATAATATAATATAAGGTTTTATTTCTCTTATGTATTATCTCCTATTTTTATTTTGATTTCAGTATTTAGTTTTTTTAAGAATTTCCTTACGTGACATAAGAGAAATAAAACATATATAATATAAATCCAATACCGTCAAAAATAATTAACGTTTTCAGCATTTTAATTTATGTATTTTAAATATTTAACAAATATTATTAAACGCAGTTTTCATTAAATAACCTTCTAAATCATTAATGCCTTTTAGTATTTGAATTACTTTGTTTTTAAATAGTTAATAAATATTATTAAATTATTATAATAAATTTTTGGTCAAGCCTCGAGTTGAATCTTATGAATAAAGAAACTAAATGTTAATCAAATTTTCAAATAGTCCAACTGTTAAATGAAAAAAAAGTCAAATCTACTTGCTCGTCAATAAATATTACCAAAAATGCATTAAATGTTTTAAATATTTATAATAAATTTTGTTGTGCTCATAAGACCATGGTTATATCACTATTATAAGTTTTAAAAATAACTTAAAGAAAAATAATGGCCTGTTTTATAAATTATGTTAAGAGTAAAACGTTTGCCATTTATTTAGAAGGATGTAATTTGGAGTCGTTTTTTAAATGAAATGATGTAATTTTGGTATGTATATATTTAGTATTTTTTATATTTGCTCTCCTCCATAAAATTAGGAAGAGAAAGAAAATAAAGAAGAGAGAATATAAAAAATTATCAATTATGCACCAAAACGATATCATTTTATCTAAAATAATATAAAACTATATTATTTAAAGGGTTCGCTTTTTCTGCAGTTACTGCAGATAAGTTATCTGCAGTAAGCCCAATATGACGTCGTTTTAAGGCGGAAATCATGGTGTTTTTATAATTTTAATTTATTTCAGGGTTATAATAGTCTTTATATTTATAATTTTTTAATATTTCAATACCAAAACGACATCGTTTTGAGAAAAATGCAGATAACTTGTCTACAGTAACTGCAGAAATATTTCCCCTTATTGGGTTCGTTTTTTCTGCAGTTACTGCAGATAACTTATCTGCAGTAAACCCAATACGACGTCGTTTTGAGACGAAAATCATGGTATTTTTGTAATTTTAATTTATATCAGGGTTATAATAGTTTTTATATTTATAATTTTTTAAAATTTCAATACCAAAACGACGTTGTTTAGGAAAAAATACAGATAACTTATCTGCAGTAATTTCAGAAATATTTTCCCCTAATAAAACTATTACTTTTAAGTTTTAAGTGGTGGCAAGTTTTTTTCATTTTGATAAGAATTTGGCATACTGGTTTTATTAAGTTTTTAATTTTAGGGAAAAATGTTTCATTTTAAATGACAGAAAGTTATGTCATTTTAAGAGAGATACAGACACAGAAAATTTGAATTTTAAATTAAAAAAACCACTCACTTTCTCTCTCCCATGATTTTCGTTTTTCTGTATCTATCTCTCTCCTAAAATGACATAACTTATGTCATTTAAAATGACAAACACCAAACCCTTAATCTTATACATGAAATACGATTTTGGAAGTTGTATTGCTTGTGGGTTCCTGGAATTCGAACATAAACCTAGATTCAGATTGAAAATTTGCCTAAAGTCAGATTTGTTGGTCATATAAAAGTAGAAAAGCTTATAACAGAAAAAGAAATATCTAAACCTACTGAGATGATGCCTATTTAATCTTTTTATTTGTACAACGGCACCAACAATTATGAGTGTGGTGTATAATAGCAATGGAATTTGTAAGAAACAATTTTAATAATTACTAATTCTAACAAGGCTTCCTTAAAGAAAACATTTCGTGAATTCGTCTAAAATTGCGTTGGTGAAGAAATTATGTTTTTCTTTTTTCTATTAAGAGTAATTTTGGTATTTTCAAAAAATTTAACTCCGTTAACAAAATTTTGGAGGAAAAATCAAATTATGGGGTAAGTGATAAAGAAATTTTAACTAGAGGAGTAAATGATTAAAAATTTCGGGAGGGGATTAAGTGATTTTGAAGAAATTGTAGGGTTTTTTTGAAGTCTTCCCTATTTAAAATGACAAATATTTTTCTCATGTGTTAAATATAAATTTAATTTACCCTGAATTTTAATTATTAGCATAACAATATATAACTGATGTATAATCATAAATAAATTTAGAAAATTCAGCTCATAAATATGTTGATATCATTGGATCGGTTTGAATTGGATCAGTTTTCACCAACCAAACCGAAAATTAATCCAATCCATTAAATTTTACGATATCTTTTTCCGGTTTTCAGTTATCACTTTTTCAATTCGGTCACCCCAGTTTGAATCAGTATGAGTTGGTTGATGAACACACCTAAAAATATATACTTGTTTGAGGATCGAAAGGCTTACCGCTGAACTACTTTTTTTTGGTAAATACCAGTATACTATACCACTGAACTACTTTAATTTGTTGGATATAATATCTATATTTTAATTTTTATTATGAGAAAGGTTATACTTATAACCTATTTTTATTTACAATCATATCTTAACACAATTAATTTTTATCAATCAACAGTTATTATTTTTTCAAAATAAATTAATTATTAATTTATAATAAATAATAATCTTTAATTGACAAAAATTAACAATTAAGATATAATTGTAAGAAGTTATAAATAAAAATATATTACAAATATAACATTCTTTTTGAAATTCCACCGAACTCATTCACTAATTTAGTCGATGATCGGGCGAATTTTGAATCATTGATTTATACATTAAAAACGCGTGTGATGTGGTGGGCGTTGATATCAAGAAACGCGTCCTAGATCTGGATAAGAGTAGTAGCAAAGTACTTATATACCCTTTTACATTTCCTTAATTACTGATATGGTTTTCTCCACGTGCAATGCGCATTCTGCCATCGCTTGTATCTTAGTATTCTTTTTTTTGTCTGATTTTCTCTCGCTCCTCCCCACTTGCCAGTGGTCCTCTGTGCGTTATTGTGGGGAAAAATTTAAGAGGAACAATCTCACGAGAAACAAGTGACTATTTTGTTACGTCTAGCCACAAAAATTACCAAACTGTCACATTAACAGTAAATTTTTTCAGAATGTTACGTGGGATAATTCGTTACACTGTGTAGCAAAATATACTTGTAAATAATTCGCTACACAGTATAGCGAATTATGCCACGTCAAAATGCACAGTCAGCAAAAATGACACGTGTCAAGCAGGGTGTAATTCGCTACACTGTGTAGCAAATTATGTTCGCGAATGATTTTTTGACATGTTACACACTTTCGCAGAAAAAAGCTGAAGTGTCATAATTCGCTACTACTGATAGCGAATTTGGTCTGCAATATAATCACGTGTCACAAAATTATTGGCCACGAAATTCGCTACCAGTAATAGCAAATTATGACACGTGACAGTCTGATAAAAAATACTATTCGCGTGATATTTGAGTAAAAAATTTGACAAAACGTGACATTTTGATCACTATTCCACCACATGTGCGTTTAAGAATGAAATGTAATAAGCCATTAGAATAATTTAACGATGAAGGATTTGAATAGGTTATATTATATTATGTGTCTAATTTTTATTTATATATAAAAAAAAATGTGAACAGTTTGGGTGATGGTTATATAAAAAAAAAATGTGAACAGTTTGGGTGATGGTTTCTTTTAAAGGGTGTAGTTAACATACTAGTGATTAACGAGACACAATTTAAGTTTAATGGAGTTACCGTGAGTAATATTTCATGAATCTCATAGCAAATGGGGAATGTGAAGAATACGGTGGTTGTGTGGTAATAATTTTGCAACGTAAGAGCTTAGCAATGTGCCCGTGAAAGATGTTAGTATAAGTCAAATATAATGATCTCATTTCTAATTGATTTGGACCTTACACGGCAAGATGAGGGTCCAGTTAAGGCCCAAAATGGCCCAAACACGATAGCTTAGCCATGAAATATACGTGTATCTCGCATCCCTAACTAGCAACCACTTGTCAGCTTACACAGGCAAATGGGAATTGACAAAATCAACTGTTTAGAGTCACTTGACAACCATGTGAAACCAACAGCTCGCGGCAACATCTATCGAGTCTAGCCACCTATAGTCATCTCGCCTACAATTAGAGGTGGTAAAATGGGCGGCCCGCCCTGCGCCGCCCACCCTGTCATCAACCCGCCAAAAAATAAGTCAGTTCGTCCCGCCTCACTTTTGAAAGTGGGTTGGAAAACTCAGCCCAACCCGCCCCGCCCCGTTTGGCGGGTTGGGCGGGTTGGCCTGCCAGCCCGAGCCTATTTTACACTGACCCGCTAGCCGCCTATGCCCGCTATCAACTCGCCAAAAAATGAGTCCGACCCGAGCCGAGCCCGTTTTGCCAGCTCTACCTACAATATAGCTTGTAAAGC